ATACATATACATACATACATACGTATATATATATATATATAGAGGTACTGTTTCGGGAGAATCATCAACTCGTTGTCGCTTGCAGAATCGGCGGCATGAGGTTGCCGGACTGGCACATGCCCTCTACATAACTCGGGCAGTAGTGTGTTTGTCTGTCGGTGTGGGGAAAAGGTGCCGACGGATTGTATCATTACGGGGCCTGTTCACAGACAGATTGTACCTGCAGTCTTGATGATCCTGCAGCAGCTGTCAAGCAGTTGGGGAAGGCTCAGTTGATCTTTGATCTGGCATCTGGCCCCAGCCATAGAAGGACGAGGGCCCAATTGCAGCAAAGTTTGCATCACAATGACGCCGAAGCGGAAGAAGCCCTTTGTGGCAATGTTGGTCTTTGCCTGCCAAGTTCAGGTCCAGGGGGGCCAGTGCGACGGAACGCAGATGAACAAAGCCTCCTTTTCAGACGATGTCGTCGGTGTGGAGAGCCTGCTGTCGTTACTAGGCAGGCCTTTGGGATATGTTCTGCTTTCCCTTATTATCCGCACAAGGATCTTTATTTTGAGCATTTTTCAGAGGCTTCAAGGGCGAGCCGAGGTTAGGCCACGATCCGAATGCTCCGGCGCCCCCTGGGATGGACTGCTGTGGCATGAGGCCGCTGCACTGTGCTGGAATCGGCAATGCTACAAGGTCTGCCAAAGTGCTGATCGATGCAAAGGCAGATGTCAACGCCACGAGCACGGGCCCTGTTTTTTCTGCCCTACATTCTGCCGCCTACTGGTGCTCTCCAGGAGTTGCGGAGCTCCTGCTGAGAGCTGGAGCATTCGTGGATGCTCGAAACCAAGAATCCCGGACACCTCTGATTGAGGCAGCAAACTCTGGCTGCGCGGCCGTTGTTGCAATTCTGGTCCGATGGGGCGCAGATGTGGAAGCTGCTGATGCACCTGACGGCCGCAGGGCCATGCATTGGGCGGCAGAGCGAGGGTCCACAGAAACGATGCAAGCCTTGCTAAGGGCTGACGCCTCGCCATGCAGCCCTATTCATAGAGCCGGCTGTACTGGCTGTGTCGGTAGCACACCGCTGCACAGAGCTGCGCACAAGGGCAAGGTTGAAGCGGTGCGTCTCTTGTTGGAACACTGCGATGTGGACTCCATCGACAGTTACTAGCACACGCCGCTTCACTATGCATCAGAAGCAGGCCATCTCAGAACCGTCAAGGTCCTTGTTGACGCCGGGGCCAATCCCAGCTTAGAGGGCTTTGATAGTCGCACGGCCAAAGAGCTGTCGCTGGTTCGCGGACATGCAGACGTAGCGAGCTACTTGGCGGCTTATGATTTGAGCCCACTGGACAGAGCCAGCCGCTCAGCGCAGAGCATCAGAGCCTGGCTTTCCGTAGCCGCTTCACTCATAGCCTCCCGGGCATCAGCACCCTACTTTGCAAGACGGCCCAAGAGAGAATCTCCTCTCTCTGCTGGCGCCTGTGTGCTGGCCTCAATCTCCGACGTGCCGAAGGGATGGAAGATTCCCATGCTGATGTACTGGTGGCTGGCAGTCATGGCCAACATTGCGCTGGTCGATCTCTTGATGGTGCGGGACCCAAAGACCTATTCAAACTTGGTCCGTAGTTATGGGGGTTCGCTGCTTGTCCCGAGATTAAGGGACAATAGGAGGGGCCTCCTAGAAGGGACCCCTAATCCTAATACCCTATATAACCCTATATACCCCTTATATAGTCTCATAAAGCCCCTAACCCCAAGGGTCTCTTTAAGGGTCTCTCCTTTAGTGGATCTCCAGGTGACCGTGCAACCCCTGTGCTGGTGCGCGATCGTGGTAATGGTCTATGCCGGCCCTGCGGTTTGCCGGTATGGCTGGGGCATTCTGCAGGAAGTCCCGGTCACCGCCTGCATGGGAGGTCTCCTAGCCCTGAACCTAAAACCCTAAATCCCTAAAGCCCTAAAACCCTAAATACTAAAGCCCTAAAGCCCTAGACCCTAACCCTGAAGCCCTAAAGCCCTAAACCGCCTGCATGGGAGGTCTCCACTTGCTGCACATCCAGTATGCGAGAGGCCTACGCCGGCTAGGAATTCTAGCCCTTGCCTTGAGGTGGGGCCGGGGCCACCCCCCCCCCCCCNNCCAATAAGGTAGGGATATCCTTGTAACATGATTCTGCTTATCTCCTTTTTTGGGTGCCTGTAAGGCCTTTCTTGCTCTTCGGCATCTCCCAGTGGGTGACCTGGGGAGAGTGGCAGTGGCGGCCGAATTCTTGGAATCTAGGTTCCCCAGTAGTAC